GCGGGGGGCTGGGGGTGGGGTTGCAATCCAGAAAGCAGGGTCAACTTGCCATCACATAAACCCCAAACTCTTGGTCTTTCTTAATCCTTACACACAAGGCAGGTCCCAATAGAACTCTGCAGTGATGACCTATTTTTGTAGGCCAACCCTGAATTTAGCATCAATCTGGTTCCCTCGACAAAAACCCATAGCATTTTTCTGTTGGCTTTTGGATTATAAGAAAATAAGCTGATTCCTACATGTTTTGGTCATCATTATGATCTTCACAAATAAACACAACTTTTAACTTTGAAGACTTAAATACAATCAGTAGAAGAAAAAAGCTAAACATAAATTAACTACACTCCGGACTTCAGCGTCACCATCACTAAGCGTCCAACAACTATTTCAGTAAAAAAAACAAAAAACACTTTCTCTGAAAGATTGACAATTTTGAACGTTAGGTAATTATAAAGATTATAGACACAATGAGGCTGTGAAAGCGGACTAGAGTAGATAAGTTTTCCTGTTCAGCGTAATATTTAATGTGCATAACAACCTCTATAGTCACATTTAACCACTTGTTAGCACCCGCCTTTTTCAAGACAAGGAAAAGCTTATTTTTTTTATTACAAAAGGGTATTATTGATGTATTTTATGTCATAGAACAAAACATGGAACTTCATAAAGCTTATGTTAACCACACACCATTTTTAGGCATTTAACCAAAAACCCTTTCAAAAAAACCCACTGACTTTGGGATGATGGAACCAGAAGTGCTAAAATTTCCAGGTTTTGGCCTACAAAAAAAAAAACATCCCTGCAGCATTCTATTTGTGTACTTTGCACTATCCTAGACTATTTTTTGTATAAATAGTGTTAGTATTTTCTTACTGTAAATTCCAAAGAGAAAAAATGCACTTCACAATTTTGACTTGATAGATTTTTTTTTACTTATTTAAATGAGAAAATTAAATGTGGAAGTGGAACACTGGACACTTTATGCGCTCAACCATTTAATTACGTACCGGAAGGGGAGGTGCTATCATACTCAGATGCTGGATGACAAAATAACCTTATAAAATTCATACACAAGACAGTACAGTACATAGTACCTAGTATATATTTTTATAGTGTATAGTTTGGGACACAAATAAATTTTCAGCAGAGCGCCAAATCCAGAAGTCCCTATAGAAACAGATGCTAAGGCCCTGTCCCAAATTGCAGTCTTCCTCTGAGTCCACACTTTGGTGACATAATGCCCTTTGACTGTCGGGTAAAAGTCTGCTGCAGAGGTCGCCTCAGTGCAGACTTGGCAGAAGTGCGCATCAAGGGCACATAGCAGATGCAAAGGGGGCGCTCGTAAGAAAGCTATAAGCCTAGCCTGAAAGTTAAAATGATGAATGGGACACCCTACAGTTTTGTGGACTTAACGGACACGCGCACGTGGTGACCTTTGTAAGTCCGCAAGAACACAAGTGCACATGAAGTGTGCCATTTGATACAGGGCCTAAGAAGAAGCATTCCATAATTATTAATTCTTCTTCTTTTGTTTAAAGGGGTCATATGATGCTATTTTAAAGATCATTATTTTGTGTATTTGGTATAACAGAATATGTTGACATGCTTTAATGTAAAAAAAACATTATTTTTCAAATATTGTACATTATTGTAGGTCCTCTAGTTAACATTCTTTTTGCGTATGGCCACCTACTGGGCAGTCCTTGCAAATAAAACCTTTTGAATGCATCAACTCTCATCCAGCTCATCCAAAATAAATTGTTGTTCAATACAAAACTGCCATGGTCTTTTAATAATCTTCTGAGTTTACAACTATACATATGTATTAATAAAATATCTTAAGACTCAACTAAATATACTCTCTTTCTTCCAATGATCCAGGGAGGGTACGTACAGATACAAGCCAGGCACTACTGCTGTGCTCACAAAAACAGTGACTCCATTAACGCTGGATGTTGTGGATGAATCTGTCCAAGTGATGGACACAGAATGAGACATAAAGAACATTTGTGCACTCTTTGCTTCAGTCATTGGAAAATATGAGGGATGTGTGTAGTTCAAAAATTGAGATTAAGGAAAGAAAAGAGATGTTTCCCTTTTTGGTTAAAAATGTTTTGGTACCTTTCCCCTGTATTCAATCATTTGCATTTGAGCTGCTCAAAACTGTTTTGCAAAAAGAGAGATTTGTGTAGTTTTATAGTTCATTTAATAAAATTTAAGAAAAAAAGGAAAAAGTGTCATTTTTGTCATGTCAGAGTGACATTTTTAAAGCTGAACTATCATTCATTTGTTGGATGCAAAGGCAAAATGATACCATTAGTCCACATTTATGAATATTAACCAATAAAAGGCTTTATAGATTTATACGTTTTATAGCCACATATTTCAACATGATGGGAAATGCCCCATTATGTTATTCCAAAACTGTAACAACACTTAACCCATTTAATACCATATTTCTCCAGCTACTGTATGTGAATATATTATTATATGTATTTTTTAAGTTAGTGAAAGTATGAGATTTATTTTTGGTCACAGTTGTTACCAATGGGAAGCTGAAAATCAGTCAAGACTCATTATAACATTGAAAACTTTATAATGAAGGATCTAAGAATTCTCAACAACCTGTGAGTGATCTGTTTTTTCTTTTTTCTTTAAATTAATTTAAATAATATTCAGTCATTTAATTATTCAAATTAATCATATAACAATTTATTAATTTTATTGACTTTAATTTATTAACATTTACCTACGTATTTTCTTATTGGTGATTAATCTTACGATCGTGTTATTGCAATGGATTTTTATCTTCATAAGTAAGAGATAAGAGATTGTCTCCATTTCAAGGTTTTTAAAGTCACATCTCAATGTTGTAAAGCAGTCATTTTGCAGTGCCTTTGCTTTGGTATAATCATACTTGTTGGCAGGGGCGGACTTACCCATTAGGGAAAGGTAGGCGACCGCCTTGGGCCCCCAAAAGCCAAGGGCCCCCTAAAATGCTTTTCATATAGGATATGCGCATTAAGCGCGGAGACGCGAACGTTTGCTGTTTACGGTGTTTATTACCACGACAACCGTCCGAGTCCGTGGTGCCTGCAGGTGTACGGCTGTACAGTACCACAAGCGCTCAGACTGATCTGATTATATCAATTACATCAATTATAGTGATGAAAAAATGACTCGCCATCTTATAATTGGATGTGCCTTTAGAGAGAAATGCACGGATTACATAATGAAAGAGTTAATTTTATTAGGAGTCTATTTTCGATTTGAAGTATTTCGTTTTAGAGTAGTAATTTAAAGCTTTTTTTTTTTTAATCATGTCTGAGTTTAGGTTCATCATTGTGAAGCGTTCCTGTTGAAGTCCGAGACGGCAGAAAGCGTTTGTTTTCTTTATTTTATAAAGGCACAACGTTTTGTTGATATTGTGAGTGCACACAAATAAAACTAGACCCTTTACAGTTTAGAATGATGTATTACTCTTACCTTTATGAGCAAAAATGACTGCGTATTTTAAGTTGTTTCCACTGTTAGAAAAAAATGCAAGTGATCACGCAGGCGCCTCTATGTCCTGCAGAGCTTCAGCTTCCACTCTCCGCACAAGCAATTGGATATGCACATTTCTCTAGGTTAAACATTTAAACTAACATTGTGATATACTTGAACTGTTTTATATATAGATTTTATTTTAGGCAAGTCCTATAGCTGAAACAGTAGTATAAGCTTTTTTTGGGAAAAGGGGAAAAAGACGGGCTATAGGGCCTATATTTGAGACCCGTGCAGGGCTTTAATCCACTTCATCCAACGCTGTTTTGTTCTCATCTGTGAGCATGCTCTTGATATATGTATTTTAGGTGTGTAAATGTATAATTGCCTTTTCATTATTTTTTCAGTTTTATTTAAATTTGTAGTTAAAACAACTAAAAATAAATGTATTTTAAAGTTTAGAATTAGACAGCCTTTGCACACAGGCTTACGCTGAAAACAACTAAATGGAACCTCAAGGTTGATCTAGGAAAATGTGTGCAAATTCCTATTTTTTGCCTGGGGCCCCCCAATTCACGAAATCCCCTGGTCATGTGATCATGATTTGTATAAGCTAGAACAGTGTTTCCCAACCTTTTTTATAAACATCCAATCACATACAATGCGCTATGGACGGAGCGATTAAATATTTTGCTCCGCCTTTATAAAGATCGCTTCACTCCAACTTCGTCGTCGGCTTTTCCCACGTTTTCACAGCAGATTTATCAAGAACATGCTTGCTCTGCGGTGAGTGATGCGGGCCAAAGAGCCAGGCAGGATATATTCTAGATAAATGCTGTTCTTCTGAACTTTCTATTAATCAAAGAAACCTGAAAAATTATACTCTGTTGTTTTATAACATAATAATAATAATAAAAAATGTTTTTGAGCAGCAAATCAGAATATTTAAATGATTTCTGAAGGACCATGTGACTGGAGTAATGATGCTAAAAATTCAGCTTTGAAATCGCAGGAATAAATTACATTGAAAAATATATTCAAATAGAAACAGTTATTTTAAATAGTAAAAATATTTCACTATATTACTGCTTTTGCTGTATTTTGGATCAAATAAATGCAGGCTTGGTGAGCAGAAGAGAATTCTTTAAAAAACATTAAAAATCTTGCTGTTCAAAAACTTTTGACTGGTATAGTGTATATATATATATATATATATATATATATATCGAAGTGGTGATGGGCCGCCTGGACCAAAAAATGCCAGGGCCGATTTTTTGTCCCAGTCCAGCCCTAACTGTACTACATCGATGTTCCCTGTCTGCTCGATTTTTGAGCGGACTTTGCTGTTCCGATGAGCATGAACGGTATATGAGTGGAGCGACTGAGCGGAGCGCACACGCATAGAGCAGATAATACCCAGAGCGTCACACCACATGAAAGTGAAACCTGAGCGGTGAACTCATTTTCAGCAGCCGAAATTTCGGTGCATCTCTAATTATTGGCGACATCAGAAATGGATATTATATAATAGATGCTTTTTTTGAACATTTTAGCTATTTAGAAAATATTAAAAAATGATTTTTTACACGGCACCCCTGCTCTCGGCACCCCGGTTGGGAAACACTGAGCTAGAGCAATCAAAAATCAATAATATACCTTTTAGCATCAAATATGGTATATGTACTCAGTATTTTGATGATGATGAAACTGGAAAAAGTTTTCACCACCCATATAATAATGTTAATGAATTAAGGATTTTCTTATAATTTTTTCACTTATGTAACTGACAATTCGATGTAAAATATAGCCAATTTAGACACTTCAACATTCAAACTAATTTTGACATGACAGAATGTCAACCTCTGGGATTAAATAACACACACACACACACACACACACACACACACAATAAATTTAAAATAAAAAAAATCACATAAATGAAATATCTCTGCACTTTGAACCAAAAATGACATGATAATAAATCCATTTAAACAACAAAACAAATTTATATGACTAACATCGACTGTTTTCCATGAAACAGTTGTTTTGTATTTTTGGAGAAATTGTAAGATAAACTGAAATTGTTCTGTAAACTGATATTTTATATAAAAAATGTCTTCAAAGGACCAGTACATGACTGAAATCCACACTAAACGTCCTTAGCAAACCAATTAGAGACATCTATGATTGGTGCATCTGGACCAGCGCTGAGAAAAGTAACAAGAACCACATGGATAATCTTATTGCGCTGAAGCCCACCCATTTCCATCGCTCTTTGTTTACTGCTTCTTGATTCTAACCCTCACTCTATTTATTTGAAAGGGAACCAATATATATATATATAGAGAGAGAGAGAGAGAGAGAGAGAGAGAGAGAACTTTATTACTGGTACTAAAACACCAAAACACCCGGGTTGGCCCAATCAAATGTCTCCTCATGACGTCATGCGCGTATTGGCTCCTCATTGGCCAGGGAGCTGTGTTGGCAGCGTGTAGCGCTGTTTGAATTGTGAGTGATAGAAGACCTCAAAACTACGATATTAAGCGCTGGTAAACAATGCGTTGGTTTTGTGTGTTTTGATTGCCTGAAATTGGTAGACTTGCGAAATATAGAGCCTAGAATAGAGAGAGAAAGTGTTTGACGTCGCGCAGTCGTTTTGCATTTACCAATGTCAATAGTTTTGTATTCCGATATTTAATGTGAGATTAGCGTTTTGAATTTACGCGTTGGCGTGGGTTATTAACGGATACGCACTAATCTCGCAGGTGAAAACTTTTCAGTTGTCCAGCGAGCGTATAAGAGAATACTGTTAGAGAGAGAGAGAGAGAACTTTATTACTGGTACTAAAACACTAAAACACCCGGGTTGGCCCAATCAAATGTCTCCTCATGACGTCATGCGCGTATTGGCTCCTCATTGGCCAGGGAGCTGTGTTGGCAGCGTGTAGCGCTGTTTGAATTGTGAGTGATAGAAGACCTCAAAACTACGATATTAAGCGCTGGTAAACAATGCGTTGGTTTTGTGTGTTTTGATTGCCTGAAATTGGTAGACTTGCGAAATATAGAGCCTAGAATAGAGAGAGAAAGTGTTTGACGTCGCGCAGTCGTTTTGCATTTACCAATGTCAATAGTTTTGTATTCCGATATTTAATGTGAGATTAGCGTTTTGAATTTACGCGTTGGCGTGGGTTATTAACGGATACGCACTAATCTCGCAGGTGAAAACTTTTCAGTTGTCCAGCGAGCGTATAAGAGAATACTGTGCTTTTAGCGACTAACAGTTGCTTTTGGTCTGTTGCAGTCTGGTGCTGTTGATCTGATACTGTGTGGCCATGCGACACAATAAATCGGCACATAAGCGAAAGCCATCGACCCCCAGGCGCCGATCTCCCCCCGAGCCTCCACCGCCACCGCCCCCCTCGACATCCAGAGCCCGGCGCACCAGCGGACCCTCCGGTGAGCTCTCTCGTGTTGGCCTCCTTGCTTCCTTCTCTTAGCAGTGTGGAATGCAAGTAAAGTTACACGGAAATGTTTCCATGCAATAGTGGTCCGGTGGGTGACGTAGTGGTTAAATCGTCATCATTAGCATAATGTAAACTGCCTTTCTGATCATGTGGTTATTTACACCAGCCATGAGAATATTTCAACAAATCAAGAGAGCCTGCAGTTTAATATGCGTCTACTTTGGCTAAAATATAGCTTAAGATTCTTCAATAGCAAACAAATTCTTCGGTATGTAGGTTTTTTTTTTGCTTCAGATTGTTCTATATAGCGAATTTCTATAATTAAAATACACATGTGATAAATCTTACAACAAATTTGGAGGAAAAAAACGTATAAATAAAACCATATTTGCAAGCGTAGCGCAGACTTTGTTTAATCAGTCTTATCAGTCTTTCTTTTTCATTTATATTAATCGTCAAAAAGCAACACAATTCTTGTTTTTCCGCAATAGTAAAAGCACGGAAATGTTTCCATGCAATAGTGGTCCGGTGGGTGACGTAGTGGTTAAAGACATAATTATCGTCATCATTAGCATAATGTAAACTGCCTTTCTGATCATGTGGTTATTTACACCAGCCATGAGAACATTTCAACAAATCAAGAGAGCCTGCAGTTTAATATGCGTCTACTTTGGCTAAAATATAGCTTAAGATTCTTCAATAGCAAACAAATTCTTCGGTATGTAGGTTTTTTTTTTGCTTCAGATTGTTCTATATAGCGAATTTCTATAATTAAAATACACATGTGATAAATCTTACAACAAATTTGGAGGAAAAAAACGTATAAATAAAACCATATTTGCAAGCGTAGCGCAGACTTTGTTTAATCAGTCTTATCAGTCTTTCTTTTTCATTTATATTAATCGTCAAAAAGCAACACAATTCTTGTTTTTCCGCAATAGTAAAACTGCCAGCAGGTGGCGACACGCAAATATTTTCACCGTTAAAGGGGTCATATGATGCGATTTCAAGTTGTCCTTTCTCTTTGGAGTGTTACAAGCTGATTGTGCATAGATAAGATCCCTGAAGTTGCAAAGACTAAAGTCTCAAAACCAAAGAGATATTCTTTATCAAAGTTAAGACTCTGCCACGCCCCCCTAAAACGTCTCGTTCTAACACGCCCTCACATATCTACCTCACTATGTGGAAATATTAGCATAATGCCGCCCAAATGTGCATGCAAAGAAAGAAGGCGTGGTTTCAGTAACCGCAGTTAGTGTTGAAGCAGCCATGTCAGGGAGACGCTGTGTGTTTCTAGGTGAAAGCAAAAGCACTTTATTTGGCCTTCCGAAAGTAGATGCATTTAGAAATCTTTAAGATTACTTACAACAGAACAGCAATGCATTTTATAGACAACCGTTTCGTGAACCTAGGAGAGGAGGTAATTCTGACTTTGCTATGACAATCCGGCGCTTCTGAATCAGCTACTGTTTTGTTATTAGCTTAAGTA